GGTCAGGGCCCTAGATGTATGGTCAAAGCGGTGCCTGTGCACCTGTTCCCATTCTCTTTATCTGTGGCTGAACAGTCCATCAGATTTGCGTTCCTTCTAGGGGCAAACAGTCTGCTTTGTTAGTTCCTGCAGATAGAAGCGGCTATGAACGGGGAGAGAAAGCATTTGTGTGGTATATGTAAGGAGAGCTTTTGGTAAAATGAATGCTTTTATGTCTGATATATAACTGTTTTGTATTTTTCTTTCTTCTTTTTCTTTGTACTTTTATTTACAAGAGATATTCTCAAGTAATTTAGAAAAGTCCAGGGAATGATTGCCACAGTGTTTGAAATACTCAGGGTCTCAATGCACTGGAGTGCAGAGGACTCTAAGAGGCCGCCGCCCTCTGCACTCTTGCATGTTTGCCTTCTTCCGCGATTGCACTTGCTTTGTTATTGTAAATTGACATCTTTGCAATTAAAGTGATGAATGGTGTGCCCTGGTGTTTATGGGTCCTAAGGTCAGGAGGTCCCAAGATGGCCATGCTGTGGGAAATTTAGAGCTCGCTCCATGGAAGATGAACCAGACCCCTCATCCTTTCTGCTTGACTATTTATGAGCTAAATGTTAGATTGGGATGAAAAAGTATCCTGGTGATCAGAAGGGACGGAAACTAATCTCCATCCACATAGTTCAGTTGCCTAATTCCTTGTATTCAAACACTATCATTAAAATTTACCGACTAATTTGTTAAATTAATAATACATGACTTTGTAATGCAATATTAGAAAATGTACTAGTTAAAAACATGTAGCTCCAGCCATTGGGTGTTCAGAATTGCAGTTTTGCCTGATTCTTTTGGATCTAATCCATGATAGAGCTATTGGTAACTTACAGTCATATATACATACATACATACATACATACATATATATATATATATATATATATATATATACATTCTAACTAGGACATCACAATTCTAGTTTTTAATAGGTTTGTTATAACTGAAGACTTGAGCTGGAAGCTCTGAAACCGGTGATACCCATTAGGAAATTTTTGTTTCAGATACTGCTTTTTAAAAACAAGCAAACAAAAAAAAGCCAAGCAATTTTGAAAAGCTTGTTCTAGCCACAGGGACAGCTTTGTTGTTTGCATTCCATATTCTGGGGCTGGTACTGAGCGCAGGCACTGGTATCTCACCATGCAGGCTTACTCTTGTCAGGGCTTCCCACGAAGGAACGGGAACAATAAGCCGATTGTTGGGCCATGGCACTGTGCCATTGCCAGGACCTCAGCACACGGGAAACTCACACTGCACAGGAGTGACTCTTGATCCCTGCTGTCTGAAGGAGGAGCAGTGTTTTGTGACTTTTTTAAAATGTCCTTATACCATAGTTTTAAAATATTCATTTGTTTAAATGTTTTCAATTCCCTCTTTTTCAGATAATCTGTGACATTGCTAAAAGAGAAAACGCTTAGTATTTGTCCCCACTTAAAGATAATTATAATAAATTAAATATGGACAAATTATTTTCCATATTTGTATGTTGATCTTTCTCCACAGAGAATACTGAATATATGTATATATATTCATATGTATATTTGATATGGGAAATAGAATTTTCTTCTTTAAACATGGTCAAATTATGCTTTATGCAAGACATTCTGAGTATCCTATTAAACACAAAATTCAAAGAGTACCAGTGAGACAAGAAAGATAATTTGTATAAGCAAAAGTTTTTAGATTAAGCATTGCAAAGATTTACGATTGTGAACTGTATTATTTCTTTCCCTTAATTTTATCTACTACTCCTGGGAAACTTGAGTAAACATTTCAGACATTGCAAAGATCTGGTAATTCTTTAAATATTTATTTTCAGTGATGTTTCCCAAGCCCCACCCTCAGCTCTGCTCTTGAGAAATATTCCTGAATAACAAACTGTCTTTCAAATATGTACAGATAACAATCCATAGTATTTTCCCTAGTATTTAAAGGCTTGTGACCCAGACAGTGTACACCTTGGACCTTCGTGTTTTCCATATAGCTTTCATAGTAGAATGCTTTGTTTAGATTTTTATAAGGTAGTTTACTGTGAAATAGGCTTTGAGGCAGTTTTCCTTATCCTAAAAAATACATACTCATTTATGGTGAGGGGAGAGGTACACAAAAGAGAAAAAAATAAGTATTTTTTAAAGAGACACTTTTCTAAAAATGTTGGTAACAATGTTGCTGTTTTTTAAGTATGTCAATAATATTGTAGAAAGCATTTTACCATACAGTGCCAAAATGAAAAATTGCTTTGAGAAGGATTTTAAAGGTTAAAAACGAAACTAACCTAGCTTGCAAATTTACTTTAAAAGGCAAAGTAAAACATATTAACATAACCATTTTAACGGAATGTTTCAAACTTTGCTGAAATTGTGAATTTCAGTAAATATTCAGAGTTGTTACATGATATTCATGGCATATAAGAAGCCTTTTCTTTCAAAACGTAATAATTCTGTGGTTCATTTGGTGGTTAGTGTTTAAAACAAGGGAGCTGATTTTTGTTGCACTTTGTGGTGTATTAGCTGTTTCATTTGACATTTAGTTATAAGCCCATCTATTTTTGCAGAGGGGTATTTGTTTAATGGTCCACACTGGGATTGGAGGGTGTGTTGCCCTCCTCCCTGAAGTGCTTATCTTGTTTCTTGTGGAACCTTGTCAGCAGGCAAATGGGGTGTGTTCAGATTTAACCTTTTTCTGTAAGTTCACTTGTTTCCCAAATACTGTGTTTGTAGAACTTTCAGTTAATAAAGTATGTTCATACTATTTCTGAACATAATAAGTTGTTGAAACAACAAAATCATTGAAAATACAGTTCTGGGCCTTTGTTGTTGCTAACACTACTTAAATTAGAGGGAACAATAGAACAAATGAAGGGATTTGTTTTCTTACATATAGGATGGTGCGCTTTTTTTTTTTTTTGCTGAGGATTGGATCCAGGACCTTGCTCATGGCAGGCAAGCCACGAGCATCTTTATCTACACATTGCATTGCTAGACATGCTCCATGTATCTTAAGACATCTGGATGAAAAGTGATACTGGCTTTTCAATCTCGACAACCTTCAGCAGTGTCTTGGGAGGTTTTAGTGAGTAGATCCTTTGCGATTAAATTGAATTGTGAAATTCCAATAAAAGGAAGATTCCACTGCTCTCCGCTTGAACCTGCCCTGTGTTGTAATAACCCTGCAAGCTAAAGAGAATTCATTTGAGAGAACAGATGGAAAGTTATGCAGCAGTACAGGGTATAACCTGTACTGTAGCAGCTGAGTGTTAGTACCCACTGTAGCCTTTCGTTAGACTAGCTGCCTGCTTGGTTGGTGCCTGTTATAGCCAAATTAGTTGTTATTGGAAAATTCAGCTGCTGCTAAAATGTTGATCAAAGTTCATTACCAGGATATGTTTATTGAGAGGCCCAATATTCTAGGTTTTCTGTGATTTGTTGACTATTTAAATAAAACAATCTCTTGCTTATATAAAAGCAAGTAATTATCAATTAATATTTACTTACTATTTTTACATTCTTGGAATTCTAACTTGGTGCTTTATCCTTGGGCTGGTATAGCATGAGAGGAATTAGATTGCTTCTGGTTATTAAAAAATAACATGCAGTAGGGAGATAGAAGGAGATAGAGTAGAGGGGGGTCAGTTTTATCAAACGCACACATGTATAAAATTCTCAAACAATTCTTAAAAAATAAAAATAACTCTTTAAAATCAAGTAAATACCCTATGCAGTATCAGTAGCTTCCTCAATTGTTAATAAATACAGCTATTGTACTGTAAAATGGAATAGCATGGGACTCAGCTCTAATCCTAAGCAATTTACTTGAACTTTGAAGCTCCTGTTTAGAAAGGTAAAGATAACGATAGTTTTATTTTATAAGAGATACTTGCTCCAAACCAATTATTGTTATTGCTTAACCTATCATACCAAAAAGACACTCGGTGCAAAATATGAACAGGTTAAAAATAGCAATCTACTTGAGCTATCACTAGCCATCACATGCCTGGAGTTTTGTCAGACTTTCTTTAGTCTTTTCCTTGCGCATTCATTGCTGGTAACATATTACCTGCCAGGGCCAGGTGCTGCACTAACATATGGATAGAAACAGGACATAGTCATTGCTTCCCTCAAAGGAACCTGATGAATAATTAAATTTAGTCTTTAATGTAATAGTTACGCTTTTCGTTCTTGTGACACATTAATCCTGGCAAAACAGCTTCAGGAAGGAAGAATTTATTTTAGCCCACAGTGTGAGGGTGTGGTCCATCAGAGTGGGAAGGTATGGTGGCAGGAGCTTGAGGCAGCTGGTCACATTGCATCTAACCAGGGGTAACACGTGACGATTTTCCTGTACTTGGGATGATGCCTCCCACAATTAAGATGTCTCTTCCCACCCTCAGTTACCCTAAGCTAGAGAATCTCTCACTGACATGTTCACAGGCATGTCTTCTAGGGGCTATGGATTCTGTCAGGTTGAAAGTTGATGTTAAGCATCACATATAGCAAACACATCAACTTGTTTAAGTGTTTGAGAACATAAAGAAAATTACTTCTTAAGGGACATAGTTCAACCTGAATATAATTGCTAACCTTTAGAAAGAGACCCAGTACCTGTAGATATACTCATTAGGAAAAAAGGCTGGAAATCAAGAACTTCCCAAGTATCAGGAAGTCATGCTTTTAATGTGGTGATTGCCTTAGCCTAAGAGTTAAAAGCATGGGCATATTAGCAAGCAGGGTTGCTGCTTTGTCTCCTTATTTGAGTTGGTAGGGCTGGAAAGACTGAAGAAAGACAGTGCATGAGAAGATTGGGTAGAAGAATTAATGAAATTGTGAATGATGAAAACTATGAATTATAATGGTATTATGATTATTTACTATCTTAAAGTATACAAATAGTAAAATTCTGTTGATGACATTACTAAATTGCCAGAGGTTCATGGTTCATGTTTCTTCCTCCCCCCACAGAGCATCTGCTACAGCCAAGCCTGAGCCCGTTGCTGTCCAGAAGGTGCGTACGTGGTTCTCCATCACTAGGCTCAGTCTGTCTTGAGCCGCTGTCCTTGCTGTTCCTGTCTCGAATCATATCGATGTTTAGTTAATAGTCTCAGCACAGGTTTACTCATTCTTTTCCTCGAAAGACAAAGAGGAAAGTTGAACCTAGAACTTACAAAGTTATCGTATTAGTCAGTGTTATCTAGAGGAGCAGAACTTAGATAGTGGATTTATTAGAATGGTTTACAGAGTGTAGTTGTAGTCCAGCTTGTCCAACAATGGCTGTCTACCAACAGTACGTCCAAGTATCCAGTAGTTGCTTAATTCATGAGGCTAGATGGCTCAGCTGGTCTTTAGTATACGCTGGTATTTGGAAGAAATAGGCTCTAATGCCAGTGCAGGAATGAACTTTCTAGCCAGGCAAGAGCAAGCAGGCAAAGAAAGAAAACTTCCTTCTTCAGTGTCCTCCATACTAGCAGAAGGCATGGCCCAGATTTAAGGTGGATCTTCCCACCTCAGAGTATTCTGGATTAAACGTGGTCTGCTCTGTTTGGATTTTAGTTAAGTCAAGTTGACAACCAAGAATAGCCTTCACAGTTACCATGTGTAATAATATTATAAAATATTGTTGCTAAGCCCCTAGAGTGTCAATAATGCATGTCCAAATTCCTTTCATATTTACTTTTAATTTTTCTATATTTACACATATATTCTCTAAAAAGCATTAATATGTAGCTACCCAAAACAAAGATCATGCCACTCTAGAGTGTTTTTGGATTAGGTGATTAGACAAAGGCCCCATTTTTTATTATACGTCTCACATTATTGCAAACCAGTGTTTTTAACCATCTGATTTATTCTCTTTGGAATTTTTCTTCCTTTTTTGTTTTTTGGCAGTATATTCAACTGTTTACTTAATTCACTTGTTTCAGCCCTAACTTATTTTCTCAGTTAATGAAAATTTGTAAGATTTGTATTGCCCTTTTTCCCCCTAATAATTACCAGTATGTATTTTCTTAAAGATCTGAATTTTTTCTGGGATGGCAGAGTGAAAGTTTTTCTTTTTTTTCAAGTGTTGCAGAAATACGATCTCATTTTAAAGGAGAAAGCTGTGTGTGTCACTCAAAGCTTTGAGTGTGGTACATAAAGGTCTACCAACATTGGTGATTTTAAGAGTTGTTGGTCTTTCTTACTAGTCTTTGGCTCCTAACAATGAGGAAAAACATAACATAACATGTTTTTCCTCATGAGACTTAAATATTTTATTTGGAAAAAGGGAAATAATTTTATTTTATCTCTGAATAATAATGCACCCAGGAAGGGAAACAGAAGCGGATCTTAGAAGAAATGAAGGATACATGTGTTTTGTTCATCTGTTTTACATTTTTCTTCCCCCAAATTCTTTATCCAGAATAGTTGTATAACACATACTTTGAATTAGGTGAATTCCTCATTCTTTTTGTAATTGAATAGTTTAAAACTTGGTGATTTTCATGAGTCAAGTAATTACACTGTGGAGAGAAAAAATGTTAGAAAGATGGAATTATAATTGAGGCTCTGAGTATGTTAGAAATAAGATGTTTCAGTTAGTGAAATAATGCTTATGTGTAATAAAATTATTCCTTTAAAGAATATCTAAGTTGACATTTGATGATGGTCTTTAGGATTTTTTTTCCTGGTTTTCCCACTCTGTTTCTTAAATATTTTGAAACTTTAACTTTTATAAATGAAAATGTGTTTACTATATGCATTATTGTTATGCATGTTAAGATCAGTTAGCATGCATGGTATGCTATATCAACTCATTGTTTTTCCTGAAAGCATATTTGAGCTGCTAACATAATTGTGTTTGTCTTTTTAAAATCAACTATGTGTTTGTTTGCACTTGGTGTATTTTGCATGCATTTGCTGTGTTTTTGTATATGTCTATTTTTATTTTGCATAGGGTGAACCTAAAGAAGTAGTTAAACCTGTGCCCATTACATCTCCTGCTGTATCCAAAGTCTCTTCCACAACCAACATGGCCTACAATAAGGCACCACGGCCCTTTGGTTCTGTGTCTTCACCAAAAGTCACATCCATCCCATCACCATCGTCTGCCTTCACCCCAGCCCATGCCACCACTTCATCCCATGCTTCCCCTTCACCTGTGGCCGCTGTCCCTCCTCCCCCATTCTCTGCATCCGGACTGCATGCTAACACCAGTCTTAGCACTGGCCAGTGTTCATCTGCACCGAACACTGGTAAACCTGCAGTTAATGTCCCACGGCAGCCCGCAGTCACCAGCGTGTGTTCCGAGCCTGCTCAGGAGCTAGCAGAGGGACAGAGAAGAGGATCCCAGGGTGACATTAAACAGCAAAATGGGTAGGTGGCCAAGGGCGGTTTCTGCTCTTCCAGATAATTTCCAGGAAACAAGCTACTTTTTCTTCAGTTGTTCTTTGAAGGAGGATGAAGTTATACTTGCTGCACTAACAGAGACCTTTTTTTTTTTACTTATTTACAAAGTACTTGTACAAAGCAGTTAGAAACTAATCAGAAATTAATTATGCATTTTGATGTGTTTTGCCAGCAACATATGCTGCAACTTTTCCCTCCAAGTTCCTGCACAGTATCGAGCAGCTGGCACTTATAATACAAGGCAAATCTAGCCTCAAATTTTCCATCCTTTTCTTGGTCTCCAAAGGTTTAAGCAGTGGGATTGTGATTGTTCTCAGTGTATGTACACATCCTTGAAGAGAGAGGACATGAGTTTGTAATGATCTTTTCTCTGGAGGATGTAGTCTAGAAAGATGAAAACAAGTCAGTTTCCAACTCACATCTCTGTATAAGTTGTTAGTCCAGAGCAGATCCCTAACATTCTGAGGTATATTTTATCAGAAATATTCTTTAAATGCAATCAGTAATTTTAAAAAGTGAGAGATGTTCAGCATGAGAAAAATATGTAGAGTTTAAGATGAATGCATTTAAACTATAGAGGATGTTAAATAATAGTAACAATTTTTGAAAATTCAGTTGCGATTTTTTTGGGGGGGATTTGGGCATTACATTTTAAACATGACTTGAACATACTAAATTACTTAAAGCCTCAAGTTTTAAGGTTGCACATATGTTTTTGTCTTCTTTATTTCTACGTAGCTAACCTGGGTCTGTTACAATTCAGTGAAGTTATTTGAAGGCAGAGTAATGTATATACAATTTTGGTTGGATTCATTGTGATAAAGCTTACTTTTTAAAGGACATACTATGCACACGCGATGCAGTCCTTCAGGAAATCTATAATTAAGATAATTGTGTGGATGGGCCCATTCTGAGAGACCTAACCCCTCTGGAATGTTAACTCACTTAATGAGGAGGATGTGCTCTCTGTAGCGTTGTTACCATGGCAGCTCCTGAGCTTTGAAAGAGGGGATGGCACAGCTCCAGGCCACTGCTGAGGGAGCAAGGAGAGCTATGTGCCTGTGCATCTATGGCTCCGTGGTTGTGGGTAGCCTTTTAAAAGTATGAATGTAGACTCTGAAGTCAATTAGTGCCCTTCACAGAAAGTTATGTCGCCCCTTATCGAAGGCAAAGAGTATGTGTGTTTGGTCATATTTTTTTCTTGTATGTCTGTTTAATGATAATAGATGCTAGAGTAATCTAACTAGATAACCACAAGAAAATGCTGCTGCCTGTCAAATGCTGAAGCAGAAGTTTACTGTGTTTATTAAATTCTAGTTTGAGTAGACACAGGAGATAGTGCCTTAACCAAAAAAGCTTTTATGCTTCTGGAAATTTTACAATAAAATCTTTTTGAGGTAGAAGGAAAGTGAAGTTATAGAAAAGTTTTGAGTTCACAAAAAGCTTCAGTTTTGTGCATGTTAAACATTCCTGTAGTAATTAGGCTTGATGATATGATACAGAGCTTATTTCAGGCCAAATGACAGAGCTGTAGTTTCAGGGCCTTAGTGGCAGCTTCCTAATGAGTTGGCAAGTATTCACCAAGCACATGCCCAGTGTTCAGCACAGTGCAAAACAGAATAAAAGGGATTATTACGTATTTTGCATCATTAACAAGCAAGCTACTGCTTTGCAGTTTCGAACTGAAAGTGTTTAAAAAGAGCTTTCAAGTGCTGTCCAGATGTTAGGACAGTGAGAACACAATTTGGTGCTTGTCAATTTCTAAGGCGAATCTGTGGTTCTTTTTGTTAATTGCATTTAGACCAGAGAAGTAAAAAAATCACATACTTGGCTAGTCAGCCATGTGTCTTTGGAATTAGTGTTTTCTGGCATTGATGTTCACTTTCTCCACATCAGGTGTCAACCTGTTTCCCTCAGACATTCGACCAGTCAGCTTCTCGGATTTCTGTGACTTCAGTAAAACAAAGCTCTCAAAGTTGAGAGTGATTGCTCTTTATTAATAAGGTTTTTGGTTTTTCGGGACAGGGTTTCTCTGTATTGTTTGGAGGCTGCCCTGGATGGATATTCATTACTTTTAAAATAGTACCCAACAATGACCAAACAATTAAAAGCTCAAAGGGATACAAAAGTAAATGGCTGAGTTCTGTTTTCCTCAAAGCATCAGGACTGTTAGTTTTTAAGCAATTTGAAATGGTTGGCTAATTTGCCAGTTTCATAGGTATCCCACTGAAATTTGTGTTGAATCAATAAACAAGAAACACAAATGGTTATTGGGTGTCAATAGGAAGATATAGCTAACTAGTTCCTTTACAGTAAGAAGTCTAACTAGTGTTCTGGTGGTTTTGAGAGTAACTGTTAGGACGATGTAAGCATTCTTTTTCTTATACCTAATAATGATTAAAGTACTTTTAAGAAATTTCGAACTCTCTTCTGCATATAAAGTATTGTTCTTGGCATGCCATTCTCTCTGCTACCTCCTTACTCTATTGAAGAACAGAACAGGGTTTTGTATTCTGACTGAAAACAAGCTGTTTTACATGAAATAGATTAACTGAGTTGCATCTCACTGTCCACATGCCCTGTATTATAATGTGCCACTGCTCTCAGGAGGTAAGTCTTTGTGTATCCTATATTTCAGTTTTCTTTGGCTGCAACTACTAACAATTTGTTATGTCGTGTTTTGAAGAATCTGGCCTTGAAAGATTCAAAAGTCAATGATATAATCAAATAATGGTTTAAAATGCTTTTCTCTTTACAGAAAACACACGTGACAAAGTTAGTATCTGCATTACTGGAGAGGAAATATGGTGATTTATATATGAGTAAACAGCATGACTGCTCGGTTTTTGCAAAATTAAGTTAAATTTTGCTAAAGAATTTTACTTTAGAAAATAAAGTTATTGTTTTCAATAAGTTTGGTTTGCATCAGTATGTTATAGTGAATGGTTTAAGTTATATCTTAAAAGATGTGTGGGGTTTGCTGTGCAGTGGCTGAAAGAGGAAATGCTTGGAGAAATTAATTCTAATTAGTTAGGAGTATTATAAGACAAAGATGAGAAGCTATATAAATTTGTACCAGTAGTAAATGATATATACAGTATTGGAGTATTTTCAAATTGTTCAAAAGCTAGTATTTCCTAGATAAAATTTTCTAAGACCTTTATGATTTTTCTGAAGAATTAAATCAGACAATGTTAGTGGCAGGTTTAGATATATTTGTGTAGTGTGTTTGTTTCTGTGTGAATAGTGAAAAGTCCATATATTTTTTAATTACTCTAAAGAAATAGTTAACAGTTTGTTAAATGTCTCAGTTAGTACACATAGACATTGAAAAACACTGGTATGTTTGTTTTGTTTATTCATACTGATATTAAATTGAATAGTAATGATGATCTTAAAAACAAGATTAAAGAAACTCATTTTAGCAACAACTTATCATTTTTGTATTAACTGAGCTGTGGTTATTCTTTTATCAGTACACCACAGTGAAGTCTCTGGAAGTAGGAGATGTCTGTTTAGGTCATATTTAAGAAAGTTAACTGTTGACTTCTTGCAACACCTTTATAATTTTCTGTAATCCGTTGATTGACTCGAGCACATTAGTAAAACAGACACTGTGAGGTATTATCTATTTAAAATTAGCTTACTATATATATATAAACACTGGCAGCCATCCAGTAGGTTCTAGTGCAGCACATAATTTTTTTGAAAAAAAGGAAAACATGCCACTTGAAAAATAAACACAATTGAAACTTTTATATTAAATAGATAGCATGAAAGCTCAAAATTCAGCTTCATTAAGTTATTGGGTATTACTCTGTATTTTAATGTGTCTCTAAATATGACAACAGCCCAATTCTCATTTATCTGAGTGACCAGGAATATACTTTCTGATCATGCTTCTTATACAGGAGCTAAGATTTGATCCTGAGGCAAATTTGGATGTGTCTTTCATTATGCCACCTGTTGTCATGTGGACATCTTTCTATCATTTTGATTTGGTATATCTACTTGTAGAGACTACAGACTCAAGTTGTGACTCTGCAAATGAATTAATGTGCATAGGCTGCACTTTGAAAGCACTGCTCTTGAGTAGTCATGGAATATTTGCCCCTACAAACTAGTATTTGAAAGTCTTAATGAAGAGAAATATGCAACCCATTTTCCCGTGGAAGAAAACACACCTCTTGTAGATGTACTTAGCCCATGACATGGGAAATGGGCATCTTAGCCAGTACAGGTTATCTGGTTACTGTGTTGATATTGCTACATTTGTTGGTATTGCTACATTCGAAGCTTGTCTATTTGAGCATTATTTTCTAAAATACCTGAAAATATTTGTTGATTTCTTTAGGTTGAAATCAACTATCTGTTTATGCCCTTCAACACAGAACACTGCCTCCACAGCTTCACGTTAACACAAAACATTTTCCCTCAACTTTAAACTACTGGAGTGTTTATCTGCAATTATATGTAAGAGATTAAGTTGCAAAGTGATATTCCTGAAAGGTCAGGTAGAAAATGCTTTATACCAGTGTTTCTCAACTTGGCAGTCAAATGACCTTTTCACAGGTCTTAGGACCCTTTCTTAATACCATTGGAAAACACAGATATTTACATTATAATTAATAACAGTAGTAAAATTGCACTTATAAAAACTACCAAAAATAATTTTATGATTGGGGGGTCACCACAGCATGAGGCACCCTGTATTAAAAGGTCACAGCGTTAGGAAGGGTGAGAACCTCTGATTCTACTGTGAAAGAGGGGTAAATACAGATGATCACCTCATTGCTGTTTCCAGCCTCTCTCTGTAGAACCATGTGCTCTGTTATGTTTATGCTGACATCAACATCTACTCTATTAATTTTTAATGTTAAAGCTGGTAGGCAGTTTTTCTCACTTTGTTAATAATGAATTTCTACTCGTAAGTTTTAATTACAGAATTGAAGAACCAACATATAGAATTTATATCTGGTTCTCTATCCATAGTGGAACACTGATGTATTTGTTTTTAATAATTGTGCCCATGTTAGGTTGTGTGAATGAATTGTGTCTTGAAGTCCCCCCTCTTCAGGTATCATTCACAGACTTCCTTTGCCATTCAAATCAGATAGACCTTTCTGAGCACTAAGTATATCCCCAGTAAACAGAGCTAGGTAGTTCCCACATAGTACTTCTAAGGCTTCTGGGGCTTCTGAATGAGGGCGTGGTCATGAGAAGGGAGGGCTGTGAACATTGCTAGAGATCTCACCATTCCTAGTCTGCTATGCTCTCTACACTTGCATCAATTACTACATTTCTAAGAAGAAAAGTCAGTGTAACATTCTCCTCTGTAGTGATTTATGGAAAGAGATTATATTTGCTCTTGATATACTCATAAAATGTGAGACTGAACAGTTTCTTTTCTGATTTTAGAATGCATTCTAAATTGATTTCTGAGGGATATATCAGATTATACTTTATCATGTGCTTCTGTAGGAAAGTAAGGGTTTGATTCGTACTAAAATAAATTTTCTAAAAACATAGGCATTAAAAAAAATACATGGCTTTTTCGGTTTTTAGGACTTAGGACTTGAGCTGACATTAATAGATAAGGATGTTGTTGGTGTTTTGTGACATAAGCCCAGCTGTTAGACTGTCGTCCTCATGGTAGCCATAGTGGTTTTGGCTAACATTGCGCTTACTCGTCTGTGCGCCTGCGACTATTTTGAAGCATGGTGTCTGTGTGCCATCTCTTAAATTGTTTTGGATTCTGCTGTTTCTCTCTTTTTCTTCTTTTTAAAATTCTTTTTTCTCCTCCTCTCTGTTTCCCCTCTCCACTGTCCCTGCTTTCCCTCGTCCTGGGGACCTCCATGTCTTCTCTACCACACCTTTCCTGTGTGCTCTGTTCCTCCTTCAGTAACCCCGGCACTGTGTAAGTACTTACCTAATGGTTTGTCTCTTACTTCCCACCATTCCGTCTCTAACTTTTCAACGCTCACCCCAGGAAGTCTTCTTAGTATCATCTCATTACAAGAATTCCCAAATACATTAAAGATTATTCTAAAAGAGGGCTTTTCACACTAGAAGCTTTCATATGAATCGGTGGGTATGCTTGGAATGCCCACATCTGCACGGTGGAAAAATCTAGTAAACGCTAACTTAAGGGGAGTGGATACTATTACAGATAGTATGCACTAGAGTTAGAGATATAATTTAGGTATCCCTCTTTTCAGTGTTGTTTTAAAAAGTAAGTGTGGATGAACTTCCTGATTTTGAATGACTATATTTTGAATTAATTGCCCTTCAGAGTTATTATTACTGTATTTTCAAAGATTCTAAAAAATCTTTAAAAATCATTGATGCTCGTTTTTAACATAATCATCATATTCAAATTTTCACAATGAGGAAGCACTACATAAATGTTCAGAAAATTCCTGTTATTTAATCTGAGACTTTTAAGCCATGGTGGTAAATGCTATCTATAAGGTCTCAGATGTACTGTGTTTTCTATAAACATGTCATTCTATCTGCTCCAGAGTAAGTATTATGTTACTATTCTTAGCTTGAAGCCATTGTCTCATGTTTTTATAGATGGAACTTGTACAGAGGCTAACACAAGTCATATGTGTTCCATCCCTATGACTGCATAAGTTGAGTATGACTGCACACACCTGTATCTAGTGCTGGGGAGAGGGAAACAGGAGGATCAGAAGCTAAAGGCCAGTCTCAGCCACATACCAAGTTTTGAGATCAGCCTGGGCTGCACCAGAACCTAATAAAAGAATATATATTTAATAAGTAGTGCTAACTGGCTAATTAAATAGAAGTTTAAAACTTAATAAGTTTGTTAGTTCCTACAAATCTTTTCAAGTACTTTCATAAAATTAAGAGCTGTTTTATATGTGTCACAGGCTATTTTTATAAATGACTTCTGTCTTTTTCTTAGTTTCTGAAATTTTTGTCTCAGTATTCATAAATGTCTGTTAGGTAGTTCACTTCCATAATCATGAATTATCACTGTAAGTTACATTTCTTGCTTTTTTCTTTTTGCACAAATACTGATTTTTCTTGTAGGTATGTCTGTGACTGACAGCTCATACATTGTAGCTAATTTTATACTGTCTGTGAAATAGCAGTATGATGATTTCTGTGGATCATGATCTGTGGAAGACTGTTTACATACAACATCTACCTTATTGGTTCCTCAGAGCCACCTTTAAGACACAAGTTCCATTTTTCAAATGGGGAATATGAGACTTAGGGCAGTTAAGTTTCTTCTGTAAAACACATTGAGTGTGGGACAAGGTCCTTCAAACTGTCCGTGTGAGTCCAAAGCCAGCGCTATTAACTTGGAAAAGCTCGGTGTGACTGCTAGAATGCTGGCAGTCCTGTAGCATGGTGAATGTCTATAGTGAGTTAGCCTAGCAGGTCTTACAGCCACATCGGCTCACATTTAGAACATTTGCTCTACTCAGGACAGCATGCTGCCAGATAAGACTTGAGCTCCTGTTTATTTTCTGAATATTTGGCATTTGTCTTATTTCAGAAGAAGTAGGAAATATTTATCTTGTTCCGTTGATCCTGAAATAATAGTGAATTTTGTGATTTCCTTAATATTTATGCTATATTAATAAAATATGAATGTGCCTGGCAGAATCAGTATTTGAATATTATACTATTGCCTTTGGCATGTATTATCAACCTTAATTCTCAGATTACTACTTTATGTTTTCTTTGTTAGTGAAAACAGTGTGGGTCAGTGAGATGGACTTGTCCAAAGTCACACTTGTGAGGAGTGATGGAGACGGGATCTCAGCCTTGGTCTCATACAGAAACCACAGAACTTCACTGTGCTCACCTGCAATGCGCTCTGTTTAGGGTTAACTATGCTGTAGACACCATTGAGAAAGTCACAGAACATAACAGAGTCCTTCCAAGATTTCCAAAGTTTTTAGAATTGCTTGCTTATCCATACAAAGAGATATGATCACTTAAGTTGTGAAAGCCAATCCATTGAAGGGTTCTAGAATAAATACTCATATTTAACTGGCTAAGTCATAGTTCATGTTGTTTTGTATGTATGGCACAATAATTTGAAATGGTTGGATTTTTTTTTTTTACTACTGTAGACTTTCCATTATCTGTTTTCCTTATTCTTCTGCCTTCCTTTTCTTCATGTTGGGAATCTTTCTTCTGCTGCCTCCTTCTGTCACTTAAAGGAAAATTCCACCTAAACGGTAATCCTGCTGTTCAGTGCAACCTTTTAGCATTGTTTACACTAACCTATAGATTTATGTCTACTACTACTACTATGTCTATTTAGAAGAGTAATTACAATTGAATGTGTTTATGCAAACTGTGTATATAAAATGAGTATTAAAAGTAAATGTATGAATTACAAATAGTTCATCAGAGACCATTTTTATCATCAATGCTATTTAAATTGTAATTATTATTTTTCCCCTTTTTCTAGCCCACCAAGAAAACACATTGTGGAGCGCAACACGGAGTTTTATCACGTCCCCACTCACAGTGACGCCAGCAAGAAGAGGCTGATTGAGGACACTGAAGACTGGCGCCCACGGACTGGAACAACTCAGTCTCGCTCCTTCCGGATCCTTGCCCAGATCACCGGGACTGAACATCGTGAGTAAACTAGATATCTTAGCAGAGGAATGCTTTTGGCTCTGATAGTAATATCTAGGCTTATCAGCAGTTACAGAAAACAGTCCTGGCAAAGACTGCATGTAAATCATGTTGTATATAGCAAGGTTTCAGTTCAGGGAGTTGCATTGAGAAGAGGGGGTGTACTAGCCTTGGTGTGTGCCAGTGTAAACATGATATGGATTTGTTTTAATTGCTCTATGTGGTTTCAACATTTGACATTGATTCATACACAAAATTATGTAAGTGATTTTGAAGTTAAACTTAAAAGTTAATTTTGGATCTTATTTACATTGCAGTGAAAGAATCTGAAAATGAGAATACAAAGAAGGCAAAGTAAGTTCTCTTTAATGAATCGAATGCTTTATTTCATGAATGGTCTCAATTTGTTGTTTTTAAGCTTCAAGTGAATTGTTACAGTTTTATTGTTTTTGTAAACAGAAACTAAGCATTTAACCCATGGTGCCATTAGTGTGATCTAAACATGCAACCTACAGATTTTGAAATTAGTTGATATTGTCTAGATTTTATATCTAAAGCATATTCTTCTTAATATTGGCATACAGGGTCTTTGGGAGCTACTTTATTAACAGTACAACTCTCAATGAATGGGTTCCTGTGTTGTCTTGAACTCCCTTTATTTGGTGCTTAAAGAATATTTCTAAGAGGACTCTGTAGACTAATTTCTGCATTTCCAAAAACTCTCTACTTTTAAGCACTGCTATTTTTAACAAAACTGCTGTCTGAAATTAAGCTTTTACAAGGCATGTTTTCTGCATGTTGGAATTAGTATAGAATCTTTTACTTTCACCTTCTTATGACTCTTCTATCACTCTTTTTTTATTTCCACAGGGAAAAGATACCCCTTCACGTCTTTAGCCCCAAATATACAAAATTACGTGACTGGCACCATGAAGTTTCAGCACGTGCTCTTAACGTACAGTGACTATGAGCCTTGCTTCCCCCACCCAAGCAGCCAGCACATAGCTTTCATTCACCTTTTCTTCTGTCAGTCTCATAGCAATATCTGTTTTACATTTGTCTCATGGAAACTAGAACATTTCTGTACTTCCCTAACGATTTCCAGTTGTGAAAACGAGAAGATAGAACATGTTTTGTCCTCATTAGTAGCTCATAAATGCAACACCAAAGAAAGAAAAGGAAGTGGCTAGGTCTCCTCAGTGTATTTCCACCTATTTTCACTGTTCTGGTCATTGACTGTGGAACAGGACGTCTTTTTGTAAGGTTGGTCTGGTTCATCGGTTGAAGCAGAAGTGGATGAGCAAATAAGGTCTTTGTCTAATTAGGACGCAATTCCCCCATGCTATTACATTTCACATTCATTAAGGAATGTTCAAAGTTGATGGTAAATTCTCCTAAGAGAGCAAATGTGAGGAGGCAGATTCAGCACAGAAGACTGCTAGAGCTCATTCTGGACTTGGGTGTCTTAGAAACCTACTGCTTCGGTGGCTATAAGAAAAGATCTTTTGTCCTTGCTTGCAGTGAGGAAACATGGTATTCTTATACTTTAGTTCATTTTAAAGTCATCTATTAAAAGTGTCAACAGTAAGATATGTAGATGATAGCCTTGCTTTATCTTTATGTTGGAGGAAAATAGCGTAAAATAAATTTCAATTTAAATGTTTCTGATATAGGAGAAATATTTTAGTGTTATAAACTACTGTGTGTTGCTGCTATTCTTACAAAGCTGTATTTTAGGCAGTACAGGGAAATGCAATATCTGATTATAAACGCTTTCTGCCTTGTAATATAATATACTATATATTAGATTTAATCTCAGTGATTAATGCATTTTGAAGTTTGGAAAGAATTGTAATAAAGTTGTGTGTACCTTACCTCTGTAGTTGTTTCTTTGAGGCTAGTGACCCGCTGTCCAGAACTTGTTAAAACATTAATTCAGTAAGATGAATTTTCATTTGGAGAACGTTTTCAATTCATGAAGTTACCAAATGTGAAAGTAACACTTGGCAAAAACGCGGCCTCCCCTTTTGTCTTTCAGAGTTGTTAGCTATTTAAGAAAAATCTTACGTGAAATATATAATATATATTCAGTCTTCCTGTGACACAGCCAAGAGTCCTTCCTTGTATAACAGTGACGACTGGGGTTCTGGCCTACATTCCAAGATCAATCTTACTTTTCCCAGTGTTCTCTACTTCTGTATTACCATGGACTAGAAGTATTGTGGACAAATTGAAGCAATTTACATCAATTCACTTAGTGATTTGTTATTATGCAACAGTTGGCCTGCCAAATGCTGTGTCATTTCTCCCCCTGCCCCCATGATATGAAGGATGTCCATTTATTGAAGCATTTCCTCAGATAAGTGAAGGCTTGCCTACTTTAACTGTTTTAATGATCCTGACTTTAGTCCCAGATTTTACTGAATCTCTGTCCTATGGAAGAAAGTCTTTCTTATTACCAGGCTTTTCTGTACATAGTAATTGTTCATTATTTGAGAAGACAATATTGGAAAGAAGATTGAGTTAGAGTTGCTTAAAAATGATATATCAGAGTAAAGATAGATAGTCCCACCAAAATCCAATTTTCTTGAATAACTGTAGAGTTTGAAGAACCATTAGAAAGAATTTTAGATAAATAAAATATTTTTCTTAATATAGACATAGAGCATGTATAAAACTTTCTTTTACTTGAAATAGACGGTGCTGAAAAAAAAAAAGAGTTGAATGCCTTGCCTAATGTCAATAGTGTTTATTTAATATATCATGGAACGTGCAGATGACTGAAATGGTCTGCATGGGAGTGGGAATCAGTGTCCAGCCAGCATCAAGAAAATGTTCCATTTTGTCCTGCGAGAACTTGAATTCCTGGGCCCAGTGACTCTTCTGGGGACAGTGTATATTCCTAGCTCAAAAGTCTCGCCAGATATAAAAGTTTGTGAAACTATTTTGTAAGGATAGTTACCTGATTTATGACTTGTTTGTGCCTCTCTTATATAGACTTTGTCAAGATTTTTTTAAAATATGAAATTGGGAAGTCACTCACAAGTGATTCTCAGCATATTTTTCCCAGAATGTTTTACTAGTCAGAATATGGGTATGTCTTACACAGTCATACACTTTTTTTTTAACCTTCCAGATATATTACTTTTGTGGTCAGGGTCATACTCAGTTCATTATCATTATACCTTTTAAGAAATCTTAGATATATATGTATATATCTAAGCTTGTATAATAAAAATCATATTAGGATACAGAATAGCTAATTCATTTTTTAATTCAAAAGTACAGAATTGGGCTTTTGAAAATTATTTATTTTATTTCATGTGCATTGGTGTTTTGTATGCATATATTTCTGTGTGAGGGTATCAGGTGTTGGAAGTACAGACAGTTGTGAACTGCCATGTGGTTGCTGGGAATTGAACCCAGGTCTTCAGGAAGAGCAATTATTGCTCTTAACCACTGAACCACCTCTCTAGTTCTAGAATTGAGTTTTATCCAGACAAATAATTTTATACTTGCTTTGTTTTTGATATGATTCATGACCACTCACTCATTGACTCATTCACTGTCTTCATTCTTTCAAATGAATAATTATTTGAATGTCAGGCACCAATCTGTGTGTTGTTGATACCATAGTAAATAATGGATAAACATATAAATAGGATGACCCAAGGTAATTTTATCACCAGATCATAAAGTGGGCTGATGTAAAACAGATTCGTCTTAGGCAGGGCAGGATTGCTGTAGATTATGTGGATGCAGGTTTGGGGCGGACTCTTTGTAGAGATTGAGAACTAGGCTGTGTGATGCTCTCAGGAAGCTCTCAAGGCAAAGGAGACAGGTGGAAAACTGTGTGGCAAGTCTGTCGATCAGAGAGCACAGTGCAGCTGAAATCAATAAAAGAAACAGACACAAACAGAATTCTTAAGCATGTAAGCAAACAGTTTCTATTCCAAATGTAATCACTTGAGTATGAAGAATCAGGGTGTTGGGGGGTGGATGGGTTGCCAGCTTGTTATATAAAGTTCATACCTAGTAATCCAGCCCTGACTATTGTCAATTTATTATTTTCTTCTGTTGAGATTCAATGACGATTTAGAGGGGGAAAAAAGGCCTCCGTGTGCTGTCTTTGCGGCATGTAGGGAAGAGAATGTGCTATGGGACATAGACAACACAGCAAAATCTAAAGCCTGGCCTATAATACAGGACTCATAATTTAGTTGGCTGGCTTAATGGCTCTGTCTTCTGTGTAAAAAGCTGACTTGATTTATCCCATCCACTAAAATTCCATGATGTAATTAAGTATTTCCTTGATGATTCCTTGCAAAATAGGCGTCATAGCTTTTCTTGCTATTAGAAGCAGCAGATCAATTCTGGGTTTTATGCTCAGATTTGGAGCTTACTGAGTTTCCACTTCGGTGGAGGACCTATAGCTGCTTCTAGATGTGTGTGAGACAGGAAGCCTTAGTCTGTTGTTCACCTCAGGGCCCACATTCACTGAACTGATCCTGTTGCTATGGGGAAGAGGAAGATAAAGAGCCTGGTCATTTCAGGATAACAGAGACAGCTTGTAATGGCTGTTGCATCTCCAGGACTGCTGTGGAGGGTCAGCTGAGGCTGCCTACCTCCACACAATGGCAGTTCACCTCTGTTGAGTCCTGCTACCTGGCCCCTCTCTTTCACCGCTCTTGATTTAAGAGGCATTTCCTAGGAAACACCTTTCATGCTAAACTCTGGAAACCGGTCACCAGACTTGGTTGCACAGATTCTACAACATGGTCCTTTTACTAGTCTTCTCATCATTTTTGTCTTCAATCTCCCTTCCCTTTTTCTTGATCTTTGACACAGATCACAGCCACAAGATGAAAGGAAGTCTTTGAAGTAAAAGATTAGTTACAGTGCATGGGAAGTTAAAAGGAAGATTCATTTACTTTCTTTATTGTTTTGTTTTTTGTATTTTGTTGTTTTTGCCTTTGTTGATTACGTTATAGACCATCTTGGCTTAATGATTGGGTATTATAGTTAGAGCTATGTCAATGAAACAACGAAAGAACAGCTCTTTAAAGGAAAACAGTTGGGTGCGTGTAATGGATATCTAAAATAGTAGAGCTTGAATGTTGAAAGCATGAAATTTTAGATTCCTATGTATTTCTATTTTGATGAGCCATTTAATAAATTTTAACTGGGTACACCTGATCTCTGTACATTGTTTACTTCCTGGTCTCTCCTAAAGGTGATGCTACTGTTCTGTATCTATTGGTAATGGGTTGGGTAGTAAGTGGATACACAAGACTAGGAGGTGCTGCTAGGCGCAAAGGTTACTGAATGTCTTGTCCCACCAGCTGAAGACTTGT